TCTCCATCAACAACAACTGGTGCTTCATTCGTCATAGTAACATCATCAGACAAGTCATCTATGAACTCTTGATTCCTCAGGAAATGTGTCTGGATAGGGATAAAGGTATCTTTATTGGCATCTTTCACCCGTAACACATGAAGAGGTAATGGAATTTTCTTTTCCAGACACATAGACCAGCATTCATTCAGATATTCTTCCTCGTCTTTGAAATTACAAGAACGGAAATGATGAAGCCTTGGACCTTCAACTCTTGAATCTACCTCTGTCTGAATGCTGTCAAAGAATTCTACGTCGCCTTCTTCATTGCTTGTCCACCAAACATCTTTGCCAACCACCAAAAGTCACTTATCCTCTCCAAATGGGCTTGCCAAGAAGAAGAATGACTTGTTATAGTGCTGAAAGGAACAACAGTACTGCCAAGAGAAGGAACCGATTTAGCCAGTTTGGATATGTGAGCTTGCTGCTTTGGTACTGTATTCTCTGAATGGTACGCTCCCATTTTCTTCTCAGCTTGGATTCGAAGAAACACATTGCCAATAATATGACCAGGCTTGTTAGATGAGGTTGCACGAGTGATGTTGGTAACCGCATTGAAAATTCTTTCTTGTTCTTCAGCATGACATGATTTTCCACTGACAAGACGATGTTGTATGGCAGCATGGGCTGACAATTTGTGGAAGTAGACACCATAAAATTTTCTACAACTCATCTGCTTTGTCTCATAACCGATAACTTGCCAACATAGAAATGCGTGTAACCATGTCAGATTGTGGAATCGCAGAACACTGCGATTAGTGATTTATTATTTACTACATCGGTAGTCAAAACATCTCTTTGTTTCTTTAGTACCAAGACAAAGTTCAACTGTTTCATTGATAATTGTCGCTTCTTCAGGTGAAACATGCATTGGCAACTCAACAAGAACATTTTCGATATGTTTTCCCACATCATGCAGTGGCTCAAACGGTAATATTTCATATTTGTCACTGTTAATTGAAGCCAAGTTAGCCAGTGGGTTTGTGAAAAGAAGAGCTGGGACTCTCTGCACTCCATGAAGCTCATCAACCAGCAACTTTTTCAGCTCTTCCTGCTTTTCCCCTTCGTATATCTTTCTGCTGTTCAATTCTTGTAATAATTCTGCTTTCTTCAATTGGTAGACTGGTTTATTATTTCCTGCCATTGTTTTTCGTCGAGCAATGGCACCCTCTAAAATCAACTTCTGTCTTTCACTTAATGAAATGTGCGTGCAACGAAAGCTGTAATCCAGTTCATACACACGGTTTGCATGTACTCCACAGACTGAACAATAGAAGTTGCCTCCCTTTTGTTGGCCACACTCATATTGCTGGGCTGGGTTGTCACCATGAAAAAACCTCATCACATCAACTATTTCTTCCCCTTCTTCTGTTGCTAATGGCAGACTGATTTCTTCCAAGCATTCTAACCTCGTTTCAACATAAGACAACTGTTCTAAATCGGAGCTGCTTGACCTGGCAACAATGTACACTTCAGGTGATTCAATAATTGTTTCAACATCAACTTTTCTCTTTGTCTTACTTTCATTCTCCGCATTTGTGTAAAATAAGACTGGATCGTATAAGCATGCAACCATGAAAATCAGGTGACCATGATTAGCCACTGTTGATAAATCATGCCATATTTTTAGGTGTCGAGTGTGTGAAATCTCTTTCAGCTTTGCTTTTATTACCTCTTTATCATCTGCATCAGAGAACACTGCATTGACCTGAACTAATTTTTCTATTAATTCGTCTCTTGACATCTCAGATAATTCTTCATTGCTCATCTTTCTCATGTAACTGGCATGCGACTTCAGAAAATTCTCCCTGATAACTGTCAACGGTTGCTTGCGACCTTCTACCACAAATTCACTTCGAATTATTTTACCATCATCACTAAGTGTAAATTCTTCATACTACAAATAAGGAAATAAAATAATAATCTTGTTAGAATCATCTGGTGGTAATGAGTGCACTGTACATTGTAACTGAATGATTTAACCCATGCGACCATTAGCTGGAAATGTGCCCAGTACTTCAGTATTTTACTCACTCTAACACCAGCAGGGTGCGATAATTCAATATTTTTAGCCGTACCTGACTGGTACTCCAACCATTTTTGCCGAGTACTTGAGCTGGTACGAACTTAAAAGTCAAGGTGTACCTAAGCCCTAAGGCTACTTCCGAGTCTTGCGTTTTACACATACGTATATAATGCACGGTCTTAATTTGACGGAAAAAATTAAACCTTTCTGAATTTTATATATTTAATAATTAATAAACACTTATAACAAAGTTAACAACCTTGTTTGATCCCAAAATATGTCGGATGTGTGGAATTTACATTGTGCAGCTAAAGTTATTGACGGTTTTGAATACCTTGGAAGGTTTGCTAGTTATCGCTAGAAGGAAAATGTAAGTACGCGAATAGCTAATTCTCGTGTACCTACGTGGTACTCGACTAAAAACAAAAAAGTACCAGACCGTAATTTTGGCGTACCTCTGGTACGTTGGTACGCGAATTATCGCACCCTGCACCAGACGATTTTACTTGTTAGTGGTAGAATAAGACAATGAAGTACGTACCTTTCTAGGAACAATTAAATTCCCAATTGAATATTCGTTCTGCAAGATTTTTTCTTGTAATTGTTTCTTCAGACACGCATTTGTTTGTGGCGTTGGAATTGATATCTCCCCTCCTAAGCCCCTTCTCTTCTTTCGTCGAATACGCGGACCATCAGAATTTGTGTTGTATCGTTTGAATCGTTCAGTGTCAACACCCACCGATTTCAACCATTCTTTTGCAATCTGGCCACCATTTTCTGCAATTTCTCCTTTTGTATTTGTGACATTATATTCTTTTGCTAGTTGGGACCAATTAACAAACTTGCCATCTTCATACGATTCAACTTCCAATTTCAGAGCATCTTTGTCCCATGTCATGTTGTCAAATACTCCAACAGGACTTCGTTTTGTTATGGTTTCCTGGGAATGTTCTGGACTCACTCTTGGCTCGAATGCCTGGGTTAGACGATCATTCTGTCTTGACTTTAGCGACTGTCTGTTGCCAAAACACCTATAAGTAGATACACCCAATTTACAAGACTATTTTTTTAGTCGAAATAACACTTAATATATTATTGTCTTACTGTACTATGGAGTATAATTACATGCCAGGTAATTTGAACTTCATTTCTACCACCCAGAAATCAGTACATAACCTATAGTGTACAGTAGTGTAAACAATGTGCATGGTAATATCGATGCATATGCCATATAATTAGTCATGTTATATGTAAAGAGTGCTACGTCCTATGATTTAATTCCAAATTGCAATCTTTCCACACAATGCACATACTGTAGTATGCAAATGTCTTATAATTATAATCTTACCTAAAAACACACTAACCTTATAATTTCTGTTTCCTTCCATTCTTCTTCTATCCGTTTTTTAGCCTTTCTGTATTGATCCCTTCTTTCTTTCTTCATTTGGGCTTTAGATTTCTTCTGCTGCAGTTGTAATTCGGGAACAGAGACTAATGCTTCAGCCAAAGGAACTTGGCATGCTTTCTCAAATTGTGAGTTTATTCGAGTGTAAAGTTCTCTTGCGGTCTTGGTCACCTCACGTTTCGTACACTTTTCCTTTTCATTTCACACGTCTCTAACAGTTTGTGCTGCCTCTGCAAAGTCAATCTCCTTTTGGATATGTTTTAATTGGTTGGACTTGACAGGAAATAAAGACTGCTGGTAGCTATATCTCTGAGAACATCCACGACACTCCAGTAAACTATGTTCAGCCTTCTTTGAGGATGGAAGTTTCCTCCACTTTTCCGTGTCAAAAGTAGCAACATATATTGCGCGCTCGTTGATTTTTCGCGAATTCCATTTAACAAACTTCGTGTGGAGATCTGGAAACCTATTTTGAAACGCTATGAAGTCAATACAAAAATTTTCTTTGCATTCACTGAAAGTTTGAATAAAATTTTCGTAGTGTAACTTCGATATTCGCGAACGAAATTTTGGAAGTGACTCTCCGTCCAAACGTGTCGCTTTTGACTGCGTCGATTTTGCCAGCTGCCACGCAATTACTTTGGAAAATCCACAAGTATTAGGGTGAATTAGACTTAAAACCATCATGAACCACGCATATTCAAATAAAATAATATTACATCTTAAAAACATCGAAATAACTTGTTGTATTTGCTGTAGAAGCTTCACTTTGTTGCTTAATTGCGCGAAATTTTTAAATTTCGCGCCGCATAATTTGTTTTGCTATTGGCGTATTCCGCTTTTTACAACAGTGCAGGCTCAATCCAGATGGCGTCTCTTCGACATTTTTTACGGAAACTTTCGTTTGGCTTGCGGACAAGGATTTTTAACTTTGTTGTTTAAAATAAACATTTAATAACATTGATATTAGCACGTAGTTTTGTGCATTAACTTGATTTTGAGACTATAATTTAATATGCGGCTGAACGGCAAAGAATTCCTGAGCGAATAATAACTCTCAAGGGTATTATTGATTTGGGGGCATTAATAACAAATCTCATCCATGATAACAAGTTAGATATATAAAGTTGAGACACTAAAGTATTTAAAATGAAGAAAAACGGAATTCTTTATTGCGATTTTCCGAGTCCGCACCGCCGTTGAAAAGTAGTAACGATAAATGACCAAAATTGTCACGTGACATGTTTCCATAGAAACGTTAAATGTTTAAGTGGCAAGCTCTGACCGCTGTGGTTAAGCACTGTTAATTTCCCCGCAAAAAATGGACTCGCTAATGTTTTCTGACCATTTAAGTGTTTAATCGTAATTTGAAGCTGGACCCATGCATTAATCTACTTGAGCAAAAGAACTGTTTTCGATTTCAAACGTGCTGATTGGAATGGTCTACAGAACAAGCTACGCTTTTCAAATTTGTCTCCAACAGATCACTCAAATTTAGACCTTGACGCTGATTGGGAAAAATGGAAAAACACCTTCCTTAGTACAGCCGCTGACCATATTCCACGTAAGTCACTAAAAAAAAAAGTTCTCCTTCCTGGTACTCGACGGTGAAATAAAGCATCTTATTAATAAGAAGGATTTTTGCAGAAAAAGGGCAAAACAGTCTTTTTCGAAAGTAAATTTATGCTACCAGGGAGGGGTGCATCTTATCGTCCAAGTTCGAAATGGCTTGCGCACAAAACTTTCAAGCTAAAATTGGGATATTATTCAACTGGTTATACAAGTATGAACGGTGTTTAATAAACTGTCAAAGTTTCACAAAAAATGGTGCTTATTAAAAGGAACGCGGAACCCCTAAATTTGCCTCATTTTCCATTACGCGCAGTTGATTCAAGGCATAATTGGTTTTAGCGTGACCGATCTCATGCAAGGATGGGCACATGAATAAATTAAAGCAAACAATTGAACACATAAACACATAAACAATGCGATTTAATAAGCAGTTGTTTTGGTTCGTTAGTTTTGATTTGATTGTTAATTCTCTCAAAAGCTTAAAAGCGAGCGGAAGTTTGTTTGCAAAGAAACGGTGGACATGTTGAGGACTAGCATAATGAATCAAAACGCTTTGTTTATGTGTTCAATTGTTTGCTTTAATTTATTCATGTGCCCATCCTTGCATGAGATCGGTCACGCTAAAATCAATTATGCCTTGAATCAACTGCGCGTAATGAAAAATGTGGCAATTTAGGGGTTTCGCGTTCTTTTAATAAGCACCATTTTTTGTGAAACTTTGACAGTCTATTAAACACCTTTCATACTTGTAATCAGTTGAATAATATCCCAATTTTAGCATGAAAGTTTTGTGCGCGCAAGCCATTTCAAACTTGGACGATAAGAAGCACCCCTCCTGGTAGCATAAATTTACTCTAGAATTTTTTTTTGTCCTGCACATACCCAAAGACTCCTAATTTGCCTTGGTTACACAAAATATCCCAAACTTTGAGGAATATCTGAGTTTGAGGAAATTCCCCATTTGGGACGTTTTTTTGATACACACTGCATTGGAAAAACTGCCAGAGATCAACATAAATGAATCGTTAACCGCTTATAGGAGAATATTGACTTGTCTAACTTCTCCAGTTTCATATTTGGGGATTTCCCCCACATAAAACATGGTTAGATACATTCTGAATGTTTTAAACACTTTTCTCATCTGGCTTCTTACTGTCATTGTTGTTGTTTGGCTATCTACTCGAGCTACGTGAACGCGAGACACTTCTGTGCGGAAATTGAATTATCCTTGCAAGCTGCGTTATGGTTTGGAGTTCAATATCAAACAAAAAAGCCTGCATTTAGTGTTGTGCATCCTCCTTGCTGGTGACATAGCTACGAACCCTGGTCCCACTACTATAGCAAATGCACAGTTTGGCAACTTACCTAGGTCACATATACAAGCTCCTGTGATTGAGCGCTCTAAAAATAACGTAAAATGCCTTGGACTCAACGCACGGAGTTTGATGAGCGTAACAAAAACAAATGACGGGGAAACCGTGAGTAATCTTGAACGTTTTCAGAACTTTGTTTATTCCGAAGACATTGATGTTGTATTTGCTAATGAGACCTGGCTTTCTGACAGTATAAATAATGCTGAAATTTTACATTCTGGTTATACTATAGTCAGAAATGATCGAGAAGGACGCGAGGGTGGAGTTTTGTTGGGAATTAGAACGAGATTATTTAAATCTGTGCGTGAAATTAAGCATGATCACAATCTGGAGATTGTTCTGGTTGAATTAACAACAATATCAAACTCGAACATACTTATTTGCTCTTGTTATCGTCCACCAAATGCTGACAGAATTTGGATGGAAAATTTTAAACATTTTCTGAACGATGTTTGCTCACATCATTCAAAAATTGTTCTCGCTGGCGACTTCAATTTACCGCCCGCGTGCTGGAACTCGCGCGAAAATTCGACAGGCGTGAATGAAAAAACTTTTATAAGAATACTGGATGATTATTTCTTGGAACAAATCAACAAATTTCCCACTAGAGAGAACAATATCCTTGATCTCGTTATAAGCAGTATTCCTAACAAGATAAGCATAAGTGAAATTTTGAAACCAAGTGATTCGGAAATCTTAACAGACCATAGTGCTAATAGAGACCTTAAGATTGACGTTTACGGCAAACGTCAAACCGCTAGCGAAGTTTTTGATTTTACAACTCTATTATAATAGCTTTTACACCAGTTTTGAAATATGTTAAATTTATTAAACTTGTGCTCTTTAGCAATGATTTAAGAAAGCAAATTAACCACTAGTCATGCCATTCACCAAAGCAGTAAATTAAGATTTGGCGTTTGAAGTTGGCGTTTGGCGTATAGATTTCATGCTTGAACTGCTACGAGGGCTTGTAGTCGTTAAACCATAAAATTTATACGTCAAACGTCAACTTCAAACGCCAAATCTTCATTTACTGCTTTGGTAAATGGCATGACTAGTGGTTAATTTTCTTTCTTAAATCATTGCTAAAGAGCAGAAGTTTAATCAGTTTAACATATTTCAAAACTGGTGTAAATGCTACAATAATAGAGCTGTAAAATCAAAAACTTCGCTAGCGGTTTGACGTTTGCCGTAAACGTCAATCTTAAGGTCTCTATTATCTTTGAACTAACTATGGCGTGTAATCCATTACAAAGAGTAAAGAGATCTGTGTTTGATTATCGTAGAGCGGACTTTGATGGGCTAAGAGCCCATCTCCAAACACTTAGCCTTGAAGCGCTAGTAACTGATAATGGTGGTATCAACCAAGATTGGTCGGACTGAAAAAATGCGTTTCTTGTTGCGGTAAAGCAGTTTGTCCCTGTCAAAAACTTAAAAGCTCGAAAGTTTCTCCCGTGGATGAATAACACAATCCTCCATTTAATCAAGACGAAAAACTCGGTAAAAATGAAAATTAAAAGATCTAGCTCACCAAGCGAGTACCTAAAATATAAATTTAAAAGCCTCCGCTCTACAATTAAAAAGATGTTGCGTGACAGCCGCCTTAAATACATGAACACAATCTGCGCGCCGCGTGATCACAATCCAAAACGCTTTTGGTCCTTTTTTAAGACAAAATCGAAAGTCAGTAACATTCCAGGGAAAGTTTCAATGAAGGAAAACGACAATGAAAGACTACATGCGGATAATAACACAGACATAGCGAATATGTTTAATGAATATTTTGCTTCCATCTTTACGTCTGACTCTGACAGTAATTGTGAACGCCAAGATCATTCACAAGTTATTACAATTGATAACAATGCATTATCGGAGGAAGAAGTTATGGCTGTGATAATAAACTTAGATAGCAATAAAGCACGAGGTCCAGACAACATTCCAGCTCGTTTGTTGAAAGAAACAGCCATGCAGATTACCCCATCACTCTGTGCACTATTTAACAAGTCTCTACGTGTTGGTGTTCTTCCTAGTGTCTGGAAGCTTGCAAACGTGGTCCCTGTCCATAAACATGGAGAGAAGACTTACGTCGAAAACTATCGACCAATTTCGCTGCTATCACTCATCTCCAAGGTTCTTAAACGTTGTATATTCAATAACATCAAATATCACGTTTACGAGCTGATAAATCCTTGTCAGAATGGTTTTATGCCTGGGAAATCGTGCATCACTCAGCTTATTGAAGTTCTCGAACAGATAGGCCGTGAGTTGGATCGCGGCAAGCAGATTGACGTACTTTATTTGGACATGTCGAAGGCGTTCGATAGAATAAGTCACGCGGAGTTAATACATCGTGTTCGCGAATTCGGATTTGGAGGGAGCGTTCTCGATTGGTTCAATTCTTATCTGACCAATCGATACCAGCAAACAACCGTTCTCGAAGCAACGTCGAAACCACTCCCGGTAACATTAGGAGTGCCACAGGGGTCCATCCTCGGTTCGTTGTTGTTCTTGCTGTACGAGAATCATCTCTCCAATGCTGTGACTAATTCAAACATTGCTACATTTGCTGATAATACCAAAATCTTCAAGACCATCAATTCCATCTCTGATGCAGCTGCTCTGCAGTGTGACCTGTCAAAATTTGAGAAAGGCTCGACCAACGGGAACCTGGAATTAAATGCAAGCAAATGCAAAGTGTTAAGAGTCACCCGTAAGCACAACAAAATCA